CTGTCTTGTCTTGTCTTGTCTTGTCTTGTCTTGTCTTAATTATCCACTAGTGGGAATCATTTTTTGGTCTTTGCTGTCGCTGTTATTGTTGCTGTTGTTATCTGCTGTGGTTTGCTCCTTCTTCCTTATCAATAACGATCTTTCCCTTATTAAATGCTTCACCTACAATATTAATTCTTTGATTCTATGGTGTTTGTCAAATCCCCACATAAAGGAAGCTGGCTACTTGGATTCTGCCTGTCAGGCCACAGTCGCCAAGTGGGTGGTTGGCGGGTGCTCTGGTGTGGTTTGCTTCTTCTTTCCTATCAAACATCTATCATCCTGATCTCCTCCTTCTTCTTTTTTATGTTTGTTACTCTCTTGTAACACCTCTAATCTTCTGGTGCTCATATCACCTTATGCAGTTGCGAGCGCTGTAAAGCCTCTACTAAACTAAGTTATGTCAGGCCACAATGAGTGGAGTGAGATACTACTTTATACTTCATGCCAATTAACAAATAGATGGAGATAATACGTAGAGCTTGTTTCCTAATGGAACAGAGCTCTATATAAATGCTATTTGTTATTATTATGTTTCTTGATAAAATAACTTCCCCTTGCCTGAATCAAAATCGCATCTTTTGCATGCAATGAAACGGGTGGTTGGAGGGCACCACTGGTAGGTTCTACTTCTTTACTTTTCCCTTTGTTGTTTCTGTCTGTCTGTCTTATTTTTTCCCAGCTCTAAATGACCATTATTATGTCGATGTGTTTCTCTTTACTCAAACAAACAAAAAATGCAATAACGAAGAACATAAATGTTGTCCAGAGAAGCCAGTGACATTGTAATTGTTTTTTTATGTCACGATGTGGTGGAATCAAGTGTTCGTCAAACTTTGAGCATGTAGAGATATTGGTATCATCTTAAAAGCTAGTTCATTTGTCTTGCTTTTGGCACGCACAAAAAAAACCTCATCTCTCTTAAATAGGAGTCGAAATATTTGCGATTGAAGGAGGTAGGATTGTCTGGTTTCAGAGGTAAAATTGGTGAAAAAATGGCCGCCAAAGTTTCATGATTTCTAAAGGTTGAAAGTCCTTGAAAACTGCAAATTCACATATTGGTGTAGATATCTAGTTTAACTATACACGCATGTGGTTTAACTATGTACACCCACCTCATGTAGCGATCCGACTTGCACTGACTGGTCGCAACTCTCTGCTCTGCGCCTCGACCTCTACTCACGCAGTCTTCAAAAGTCCGTGGCTCACGCCTCGGCCTGTCCTTGTTTTCTTCATGTCAAATAGGTAGCCTACAGTACTCGACTACTTTCCCGAGAATCACACAGCTAACCACAATTGTGTACCTTAAATAAAACGTTTTTCAGTTCAATCCACACAGAAATGTGCTTTTAAATTGATCTTAAAGACATTGAGTCAAAACACAAAATTTCTCTAAAAATTACCAATAGGGCAGAAAAATGCCAATAATTTCTTCGAAATCATTATTTTCACAGACGCCTGATTTCACCATGATGCCTCATATTTATGTCTGTAATCTTACATTGTTGCAAGGTGTTTACTTTAGTTTTTGTAGAGGTTTTACGGCGCTCGCAACTGCATAGGGTCATATGAACTCCAGAAGATTAGAGCTGTTACTAGAGTAACAAACATAAAAAAGAAGAAGATGAGATAAGTACGATAGATCTTTGATAGGAAAGAAAAAGCAAACCATACCAGACCAGAACACCCACCAACCACCCACGTTGCAAGGTGTGTTCAACCCATATATGACGTTGTACTTTTTTTCTTCTCAACATTACTATAAAAAGGCTTTTTATGTCCTGTGACTGAAAGAATTCTGTTTTAAATTGTTTCCATGGTTGGTTGGCGGGTGCTTTGGTGGGGTTTGCTTCTTCTTTCCTATCAAACATCTATCATCCTTATCTCCCTTCCTTCTTTTTTATGTTTGTTACTCTCTTGTTACACCTCTAATGTTCTGGTGCTCATATGATCTTATGCAGTTCCGAGCGCCGTAAAAACTCTACTAAAACAGAAAATTGTTTCCACTGTGAGCTTTGGTTGTGTTAGATTCTGCTTTATCCGGAAAAGGTGTCTCCCCAAAATGAAAGAAAGAGAAAAAGCGCCTCTTACTTTTTAAAAAAAAAGTATCTTAGAAATTCGGGTCAAAATGGTTTGGCATTTCTTAAAAGCAACGAGTCTGACACTGGGCACATCTTTTTAAAAAGTGTACATATATTGTGTAGAATACCTGTGCAAGATTGTCCATAAACAGAGTAAGGTAATAAACAAAATAAGAAAAAATGAACAAAGTACGAATATTTTTTATGCTTCTCAGAACATGTGGTCTCCGAAGACGAGTTCAAGTTTGCCTTGCTGGCCAACAACTGCCTGTACCCGGGTCTGTCCACTCTGGTCACTTTGTTACTTCACACCTCCAGAGGACAGTAAGTACACACTGACTGACACACTTGCGTGCCTTCGGCTCTATTTTTGGGGTTTTTTTTTTTATTATGTTAGTTTATACGAGAGGGCGTCAAAAAGTAATGCAAGTTGTTCAGTATTTTGCACAATTTTGCCTCATATTTAATGAAATTCAGCTCACAAGTACTTGCTCATATTATACTCTTGAACTGAATTTGTTAAAATGTAAGTTTCGTTTGAGGTATGATAATTGCTAGTGTGTTCTTTTTTCTCTAAGTTATGAATGAACTTGCGTTACTTTTTGACTCACCCGCGTACCATAAGGAATAAGGAATGACTCTGCAATAACAAATGTTATTGCTAAATAGGTATATTATATATGGAAAGAAAAATCTAGATTACAACTAAGAGAGGTTTGAAAAGGGCTGACCAGGCTGCTGAAAAAAAGTTGGTGTATACACGTGCATAGCTGCCAACCATTACGACGTAAAAAAAAAAAGAAAGAAAAGAATTTAATGCATTCATGAGGGTGTGAGTATGGAATTCTGATTTTGTATTGGAAAATTGTGTTTTCTGCTTTCAAGCACAGTATTTGCTCTTCACAGACTTACTAATGCTGTAGAAAAAATTCTGAACTTTCAAGAACAGATTTGCAAATAGCCATGATGTCATTTTTATAGAGTTTTTGCTGCAAGGCTACTTTGGGTAGCTTGAATTGATTAAATTCCAAAAAGTATATGTGATGTGGATAGAGTCTGGGTTTTTTGTTGTTGTTTTTTTTTTTGGGGGGGGGGGTTCAAAAGGTTGTCAGCTATAACCATGTGTTCATCACTGGATTATGTGTTTACTTCAGCGGACTTAGCTTAAATCGCTTGTTTTGTGCTGGCTTGTAGTAAAGTGATGCTGTTTTCCTAGTGCAGTAGGCTTGTGTAGATCGAGCTTTTTTTAGTGCTGCTTTTTTTGGCAATTTGTGACTTTCCCGTTTCGTTGTTTAATATAATTTGTAGCATTATATAGTGCTTAAATACAGTCGAACCTGTTCTTTTTTTTATAGTAGAGGGTTTTACGGCGCTCGCAACTGCATAAGGTCATATGAATATGAGTGCCAAGGGGTGGGTGTCAACAGAGAAGTCTTTACAGGGAATCAGACTGCTCGCCTCTCTAGCTTCAACAGCACAAAGTCTGCTTCAACTATCAAGGCACCCCGCAAATAACAGGTCACAAGAGAGTGACAAACATACAAAAGAAGTACAGGAAAATGACAATAGTAAGGATCAGGAAAGAAAAAGCAGCAGTTCCCTGTTGTAGATCAGGCACAGTTATGAACGTGACATGAGTCAGCCCATTTACAATACTACTGTGCTTGAACGAGAAAGATCCTCCTCCCCCCCCCCCCCCTTTGGGAATGGCCTAAAGACACTTCAGTTCGTGGCACTGCCCGGGGGGGGGGTCGAACCTGTTCAAGACAACTATTCTTTGTGGATGAGAAAAGTCGTCCTCTTAGACAGTGTCGTTTTACTATTGTATTATTATGGTAAGGTGCACAAATGTGTGTGGAGGAGAGGATGTGTGAGAGAGTGGGTATATATGGGTGTGCACACACTCGTGGGTATGCGTGTGTGTGTGTGTGTGTGCGTGTATATGTGTACATGTGTGTGTTTGTGCATGAGTGTGTACATGAATGTGTGTGTGTGTGTATGTGTGTGTGTGTGTGTGTGTTTGTGCATGTGTGTGTACATGCGTGTGTGTATGAGTGTGTGTGTGTGTGTGTATGTGAGTGTGTGCGTGTGTGTCTGTGTGTTTGTGTTTGTGCATGTGTCTGTACATGGTGAAATACCAGACCAATATGCCGGGATCTGGACTATATATAAGATTTTTCTTATCTAATCGTATATTGATATAGAAAAAAGAACTCAAGGAGGGAAGTGGGAAGAGCTTGTTTTTACAGGTGATTGTCTCGGATGGGTGGTCAATAGAGCAGGTTCGACTGTATTTTTGTCTTGAGCCCTAGCCATCCCATATATCGGTCAACATATGTGAGGCAGCGTGGTGAAATCAGGAGTTCGTCAAAATAACAAAATTGGAGAAACAGGCTTGGACATTTTTATCAATTTTTTTTTTCTGAACCTTTTGTGTGTCAATATAAAAACACATTTCCATGTAAATTTTACTGAAAAACATTGAATAATGGCACAAAATGTGTCATTTTACTGTTTTCAAATAATCTTTAGCTATAGGAGTTTCTTAACTTTGGCGGCCATTTTCTCGCTAATTTCAACTCTGAAAAATGGCGACGTCACCTCCTTCAATTGCAAATATCCTGAGTTCTCTTCCAGATAAATGGATGTTTATTTCATTGGAAGCAAGGCAAATACACCAGCTTTCAAATGATACCAATAACTTTACTTGCCAAAAAAGTGACGAGCGCCTGATTCTACCGCGTCATGACACATATATAATATTATTGTATTACAGTATAACACGGATAGGTCAAACACAGAAGACTTGAAATCACTCCTCCATTGAACTGTACCTGCGGTCTTGATTGTTTATCTTCTTTATCTTTATAAGATATCCCTCGAACTACCGAGGCCGGTCCCAGCAAATTCGAGCTATCCATGTTATACTGTATATTGGTGTTGTATATATTATATTATTTTGCTATCCTTCCCCTTTCCCATTTATTATGTATGCATTTATTCTACATTTATAAAATTGTTTCTGTATGATTAATTGTATGCTTCCAGAACAAATTTCTTTTGCATATTGTTAGTTTATTCTTACCTTTATTTAACAGGTATGCACAAATGCCAAGAACGTTAGTGAGGTTCTAAAGTGCAGATTCCAGTCTGAAGATGTTATAATTTGCTAGTTTAGTTTTAGTAAGAGTTTTACAGAATTTGCAATACTATGAGATCATTTAAGTGCCGGAGGTTAAATGCCAACACTCTTTGTGACTTGACGAGGACTTTAATGATCAAACACAATGAAGACATACGTCAGACGATGCGTGACTGGGACAGAAACGGAACAGAAATAAAGCGGATGAATATGATTGACAAATAAGGGAAAGAATAATAATGGACACAAAGAACAGATACGAATGACATACATACGGCACATACATGTAGTCTTGTCGCTTCTGAATAATATTCCTCAAAGAGAGTAACAAATATTTTTAAAAAGGAGGAGAGATTAGGACGATAGATGTTTGTTGGATAAGAAAGAAGGAGCAAACCACATATCAGAGCATCTGCCAACTACCCACATATAAGAGTTTTATGTAATTCTTTTGCATTGGAGAGTTTTATTTGTTTTCACTGTGGGTCATAGACTATTTTGATAATCATTCCAGTTGTCTCTTAGTAATATAATTTTCTGAAATCTGGATGGCTTAGCAAGATGATGTAACAAAAAGACATTAGATCTATTTTGTTTCTTTTGATCTCTGTGACCCACATTGTCTTTGGCAGACAGTGTCAAAGCAGCAAGCTTTCTAAATTGTCTGCTTTGTGTCGATAGGGTTGTGACACATTTACAGTTACTGATGACAATCGTGGTTATTTGTAAATGATTTCATGTCTTCTTCAGAGCTCCTCCCTCCTAAATACAGTCGAACCTGCTCTATCGGCCACCTGTCTAAGACAATTACCTTTACAAACGACCGCCCTACCTCTGCCCTCTTCCTTATTTGTGTTGTGACATGGTGGAATCAGGCGTTCATCAATTTTTGGGCATGTGGAAGGTATCGTCATAAAGCTTGTTCATTTGTCTTGCTTTAGTTGAAAAAATTACACATCTATCTTGAATAGGAGTGGAGATATTTGCATTTGAAAGAGATTGGGTTGCTTGGTTTCAGAAGTAAAATTAGCGAGGTAATGGCCGACAAAGTTTGGTGACTTCCAAAGTTTGAGAGTCCTTGAGAAATGCAAATTTACATCTTTTGTTCCTTTGATGATCAACGTTTTTCAGTAAAAATCCACACACAAATTATTTTTTTTTATGGACATTAAAGATGTTGAGCCAAAAAAAGAAAATTTAAAAAGAATTAACCAAAGTCCATAAAAATGCAGATTCCTTTAATTTCATTATTTTGACAAGGGCCTGATTTCACCGTGATGCCTCACATTTGTGCTTTTTTTTCTACTTTCTACTTTATAATGATATTGTCCAAGTCGTCAACTTGTCTACGCCAACCACTTTTCTACTCTTGACATTGGAAGACCGTCTTGGATAGTTTCTACTGTTATTTCAAGTCTTCCCCTGAGATTCTCTGTAGGTAGTTAGCGGGCGCTCTGGTGTGTTTAGCAGGTGCTTCAGTGTGGTTTGCTCCTTCTTTCCTCTCAAACATGTATTGTCCTTATCCCCCCTCCTTCTTTTTGTGTTTGTTGCTCTTTTGTGACACTTCTATTCTTGGGGACTTACAATATGACATAATTGTGTTGCAAGTGCTGTAAAACTCTTGCTGAAATACTAAAACACTATATTAAATAGATCTCCCCTCCCGCCTCCTAAATACTGATTTATTCCCTCCTCCTGTCTCTTTTCCTCTGGAAGCGCTATCCACAACATCTGTGGCCAGATTTATAAACATGAGGGTTCCACTTTCCTATTCACTTTACTGTCCAATGAACAGAAGTTGAAGCAAGGGTATGTTGCATGTGCTGCTCCCCTCCCCTTCCTCCTCCGCTTCTCCTTTATCCTCCCTTTCTCCCCCCACCATGGCACTTCCGCCTCAGGCTTTCGCCCCATTTCTCCTCCTCTAGATGCCCCCCCCCCCTTCCAACCCCCTCACTTTAGTGTCACTTTGAATGAGTGGTCAAAGAAGAAAGGGGACGTTCAAATATAATCTTACGCCTGGGAGGGTGGGGGGAGGGGGTGGTCTTTGGCTCCTGTAAGAAAAGTGTAAGAAAGGGGGCGGGGGCGGTTTGAACCAATGTAATAGTAGTTTTTTTTCGGTCCCAGGTGTAGACTTCATGGAAATTCCCCTGTAATTTGTTTTATTTACAATTAAGGTGGTTTTGACATTGACATGAGTCAGAATTTTGTCCTTATTAGTAAGTTGTTGTTTTTTGCTTGAATGATTTACTCTGTTATTTTTTAGTGAGTGTAGAACTGCATAATATTATTATGTGCAGGTATTCACGTGTGTATGCATGTTTTTTCATGAATATTATGTAAAGCGCATAGAACAATGATTGTAACATGGATTTGTGCAATATAAATGGCATAGTATTATTATGATGATTATAAACGAACAATGTAATATTACAGGATTTTTTTGATTTTTTTTTTTTGGGGGGGGGGGGGGGGTAAGAGACAAATGTAAGAAAAGTGAAAGAAAGGGGGGGAGAAAAGGTCCAAAAAGGTGTAAGATTATATTTGAACAGCCCCTAACGTTATGCCTGTGTGCTTCTATGCATTTCTTTTAATACATTTCGGGCGTTCGAAGCTCAGCCCTACCCCCTTGGGCAGTACTGCTACTGACTGGAGTAGGCCATTCCCAAAGGGGGGACGTTAACCTGCTCTTCTGTTTCACTTATTATTAGCCTATTATTATTATTATTTTTATTATTATTATTGTTGTTGTTTTCGTTGTTGTTTTTGTTGTTGTTTTTGTTATTATTATTGTTATCAGGTCTATTATTATTACTATTATTTTGGGTTTTTTAAAATTACATTACTATTTTGTTGTTGTTGTTGTTGTTGTTGTTGTTGTTGTTGCTGTTGCTGCACTGCATTAATTGCGTATGGATATTTTTTGTCACCAAGATCTGCTAGTCCTTTTCCTACTGAAAAACCTCATGAAAGAAATAACAGCCTGACGATGAGTACTTTAATGTAATGCCGTTCATGGTGTCTTAGAATAAAAAAGATATTCTGCTTGGGTGGTTGGGGGGATGCCACTGGTAGGTCCTACTTAATTCTTTACTTTTCCTTCTGTTATTTCTGTCTGTCTGTCTGTCTGTCTGTCTGTCCTACTTTTCCCCGCACTAAATGCGGGCCCATTGTTGTGCCGAGATGCTTTCCTTTACTCAAACAAACAAACAAACAAACAAACAAAAACAACAAGCAAACAAGATATTCTGCCAGAAGTGTGTGTTGCTAATTGTGTGTTGGGCAAGAAAACAAGTAAGTCAAAGTGGGTGGTTGGCGGGTGCTGTGGTGTGGTTTGCTTCTTCTTTCCTCTCAAACATCCAGCGTCTTTATGTCCCCTCCTTCTTTTTTATGTGTTTGTTACTCTCTTGTAAGACCTCTAATCTCATGCACTTATTTGACCTTGTTGTGTTGCAAGTGCCTTAAAACTCTTACTGAAAAAAACCTCTTACTGAAACTAAACTAAACAAGTTAGTCAAAAACGTTGTTGTTTTAAACCTGTGCACTGCTTTCTTCTGTCTTTGTCCTCTCCTGGTTTTTTCCCTCGTGAGTCCTGCGTTCCCCCTTTTTCTGTTTCACGACCCCTGCCCTAACAGTCTCAAACTACCTATACTTACAGTTTCTGCCCCACACTGTCACTGTCTGTCTGTCTGTCTGTCTGTCTGTCTGTCTGTCTGTCTGTCTGTCTGTCTGTCTGTCTGTCTGTCTGTCTGTCTGTCTGTCTGTTACGGACCTCCTGCTCCTGCAAAATTTGGCTTTATAGATGACATAAAATGGCATAGACACAGAAGTAACAATCCCACTCTGTCGTCGCGGGGAAAGTGGAGGAGGGGAAGAGGGGGAGAGGGGGCGGATTGTTTGTCTTCAGAATCGCCTCATCAGTTTGTAGAACTCTAGTAATAGTATAAAGATGATTATTTTCAACCTCGAATTGATCATAATGCTCATCCTCACTTGTTCCAATATTAACACATTCATTCACACAAACATACACTCACACACTTACGCGCGCGCGCAGGCACACACACACA